CCCTGCAACCTGCTTCTCCTCACTCTCTTCTCAGCGGGAGCCCCCCCCTTCCCCCTGGCCTCTAGCTGCTCCCAGCCAGCAGGTACACATATTAATTATTATTATTATATGATATTAAATGCATAGGAAAATATGAATGTGCAGAATGTGACAGCAACCTGTTAACTTCTGCCTCTTTAATTCTGGTGCAATTGAGGCAAAAGGTTTGGACCGGCGAATACTCTTTAACAAGTATTAGCAACTATCTTACTGGTTTTTTTAAATGTGTGTGCAGCAGTTTTTCAAATTCTTGTTAACCATCATGTCCCCCCTCCTTTGATTTGCCTGATATGCCATGGGTTAAAATTACCATAATAGGTATGCAAATAAATTAATTGACACAATTAATATGCAAATATTTCAGTGCTGATCCGCCAACAATTTTTGAATCAGTTTGCTGGTCCGTGGTATAAAAAAGGTTGGGAACCACTGCCTTACTCTATGGAAAAGAGTTGGAGATGCATTGGAGAGACCTTTGTACAGCAAGAGACATGATTTATTGGCCCAACTAGAATTGATTTTGCTGCTATTCCATGCTGTGGATTCCCAGCACAATCACTTAGAAATTTGTGTATAGAGTGGGGGATGGGGTGGTCTAGAGCTCCATTAATTAGGACAGTAGAACAAATGAATGAGTGGTACAGAGGTCTCTCTGAATTAACAGGTCATAGATTCCAAGGCCAGTCTGACATCCTGTATAGCCTGGGCCATAGAGCTTCCCAAAAATAATTCCTCGAGCACATCTTTAAAAAACCTCACCCATTCTATCGTGATTTTAAAACTGCCAATGGTGGGGAATCCGCAGCAACCTTTGATAGATTGTTACAGTGGTTAATTACCCTCATTATTAAAAAGTTACTCCATATTTTCAGTCTGAATTTGCCTAGCTTCAACTTCCAGCCACTGGATTGTTTTATGCCTTTCTTTGCTAGATTGAAGAGCCCATTATTACGGACTGCGATCAGACCACCCTAAATTGACTCTGTGTTGTTTTCCCATCTATTGATACTTTTCTCTGAGGGAAAAGATCTGTTTGGGGAAAGGGGAGTAGAAAATTAAAGAGGAAATGGGATGGGACAACAACCTGGAGGGGATTCATAAGCAGGCGAAATCTTCTTTTTCATCTTGCCACAAAATCTCCGTTAACCCCTTTGCTTTCTTTGTAGGGGCTCTTCCCACCAGGTCAAGGAGCCACTATCGGAGTTGACTTTATGATTAAGACTGTGGAGATAAATGGTGAAAAAGTGAAGGTAGGAAGTGAGGATGTGATTTGTTGTGTTACTGTCTGGCTTTAGGCAGAGCGTGCAGTGTTCATTTCTCTAATCTGTGATGGAAGCAGTTGTTGGGTGTTGGAAGCTCTGTAATGACACAGGAGAGTGAGAACATGCCTGTAGCCTTATTTCCTGGAGAAGTCTGGACTTTTGAGTCTTGTTCCTGGCTCTGATGGACAGAGGCACAGCACTTAAATGAAATGTCTATCCATGGGGATTATAATGCTGTACTTTTAAAGAAGGGTGTTGCAAAGCTCTGTCCATATTTGTATTGCGCTTGCAATACATGGAGGCGCAAAGAACTATTTCAATTCATCCGGTTTTTACCAAACTCCCGTTAATTCAGATGTGGTCTGCTGCCCCCATCCCTCCACCCAGCTGAAGCCACTGCAGCTCTACTCCTGCATAACGTCTAAGGTTGATAGGCTTTGACCTCCAGGCTGTGGAGCTTTGCAGGACTGAAGGGCCCTAGAAACACCTCGTTTTTGTTGAGCTGGGCAGCCTGGGAGAAACTCTAATGTGACAAGGTGGATGGGAAGCAGTATGATCCATAGAGCCCTATACGCATCTGCATCTGTATCTGCAAAAATGAGGTATGGATGTCCATGTTGACATCCGTGGATGTGGATGCCCACGTATGTAAAGCAGATATCTACAAATTTACAGGGTTTTAGATACAAAATTTGTATCCACATTCATATCCACAAAATGAGCTGCAGACATCAGCATCCACAGCTGTGGGTCTCATTGAACACAACAGAATTATTCCTATGTATGAAGTTAGAGATGTGAGTGGAGACTGAGGTCTATAGTAGAGGCATCAATGTCTCCAGTTCCTGTGGCATGTCCGACCAGGCCCAGCCCCCACTGCACTCCTTCCTCAAGCCTTCACCCCCACCTCTTTCCTACTCTGCCAAATTCTGCTCCTTCCCCACCTCTTCCTGACCCTGCTCCTCTTCTTCCCCCCAAGCATATCTTGAATACACTGAACAGCTGGTCATGGTGGGCAGGAGGTGTGGGGTGAAGCGGGAGAGGACCTGATTGGTGTGGTCAGCCAGTGGGCAGGAGGATTGGGGGTAGGGGAGGAGGAATTGATACACAGAGATTCCAGTGAGCGCTAAGCACCCACTATTTATTTTTCATGGGTGCTCCAAACCTGGAGCATCCACAAAGTCAGAAGCACCTACGGTCTGTAGGAGGTTTCCCCAAGAAACAACATCCAGATAATTTAGGGCTCTTGTGTAAGTCAGACAATATCCCCAGGGGAGACCATAACATGGGAAAATATAGAAGGTAAATTCACTTATTTGGGTAGCAATAAGTTGAATGGTGATAAACACAGACACACACATTTTGTCTGAAAGCAGATTATCAATGAACAGAAATTCTAGGGCTTTTTTTCTGACCTAAATATCTACCAGGCGGATTGAATGACAGCTAAATCCAATCACAGGAGCTTCTTTCTCATTCCCCAAAGCAGCTTCTTCCAGTTTCCAAGTTCATGATGTTGGAGTGACAGAACATCACCTCATCAAAAAGCCTTTTTCAGCTGAGAGAGATCATGCCTAGAATATCCTGCAGATATACAAAATGTGGACACATGCTTTAATAATTGTTTATTGAACAGAAACATCAAGCCGACAGAAACAAAACCAGTTTGCAAAGACCCTGATTTTTAAAGCAGATCGAACCTGGCACCTGATTTGTACCTACAAGGAACTGTGCTTATAATATGGCAACCCACTTTACTGCAGATCTAAACACTTTCCCATCTAAGGCCGTGTCCAGACTCAGGGGTTTTTTCGGGAAAAGTAGCCTTTTCCCGAAAAAACTTCCCCTGCGTCCAGACTCAAGCCGCGTTCTTTCAAAATTATTTCGAAAGAACGCGGCTTTTCTTTCGATGGCGGTAAACCTCGTTTCACGAGGAAGAACGCCTTCTTTCGAAAGTTCCTCTTTCAAAAGAAGGCGTTCTTCAATGTAAAGAGGCCGTCTTCGAAAGAGAGCATCCAGACTCGCTGGGTGCTCTCTTTCGAAAAAGCGGATTTCTCTTTCGAAAGATCCGCCTGCAGTCTAGACGCGATCTTTTGAAAGAGGCTCTTTTGAAAGATGCTTTCGAAAGAGCCTCTTTCGAAAGAAGCCTGCAGTCTAGACATAGCCTAAATGTCAACATAGTCAACAGAGCAGTCAGATGCCTGATTGTTGTGAATTGGTACCACAATTAATTTTATGTCCACAAAATCAGAAACAGTTTTTCAAACTCAGACAATGGTCATGTCACAGAAGCAAATATAGTGTAGATTACCCGTGATGCCATGATTGACACAATTTAACTTTCATGTTCCCCTTGAGCAAGAATCTCAAGTTTTGTTTACTCTGTTGTGGGCTACTGAGTACAGAACAAATTTCCACTGACTTTAACCTTTCCACCAAAAGTTGCCAAAATGTAGCTGGTCTTTCTGATCAGATTTCAACTATTCAGCTGTCGAGATATAGTGACAGGCAGTTTAAAATCCAAAGCTTGAAATAGGTTGAGTTTAGGCAATGGGAATAGACAGCCCTCCCCCACCAGGACTTTGGGGCCAGCTTGCAAACCTGCTCTGGTCTGGAATGGCCGGCAGGCTGGGAGTTTGAGACCTCTGGTGTAGGCAAATCCATGCTCTGATACAAACCCAGAGCTCCCTGTAGCATGGGTTCCCAAACTGGGGGGCATGAAGAAATTCCGTGGTCCTGCCTCCAGCTGCAGCACACCTGGCTGCCTGCTGCCCTACTACGCTGCTGCTGCATGGGTAAGTGGGCGGGAAGGAAATTCCCAGGGGAACCCCAGCGGGAGGGCAACCCAGCCTCCCCCCCATCAAGTTTTGCTGCCCTGTTCAGTTCCTTTTTTCCTTTTGCTCAACAAGTTTTGCTGCTCTTTGGGGGGCAGGCGTGAGGGTTTTTCAAAAATCAAAAAGGGGGGCGTGATGCCAAAAAGTTTTGGAACCACTGCCCTATAGGATCAAAGCCAGTGTTATTTTAAAAGCCCTCTCCTCCCCGCCTCTGAGAAGATGGTGTGAATGATAGTACTTTGCATTTCTACTTTGAGTTGTCTTTCACAATCTCAAAGAGCTTAAAAAAACCCTTTGATGTAGATAAGTGGGTATATACTCTTCCTTACAGTGCCAGACTTGGTACAGAGAGCAGTGAGGTCTATGCAGAGCCAGAACCTTAGGATACTTGGATGAAAGTTCATACCCAAGTCCGAGATGTTTATTCTTTCTTATGATCTCTCCTCCCCCTCCTCACACTCTTCATTCGAAACAGGATAACTTTGTTTGCTGCCGGGGGAGATGTTTTGTCTTTGTTTTTTCAGCTGCTGTCATTGTTCTCAATGCAGGGGACATTGCTTTCTCCCTGTAATGCCAGCATTAGAATTCCAAGCCAGCTCTTCTTGCTTCTTCCACTGCTGACTGAAATGCTAACAGTCACAGGAACGCTTCCAGACCTGCTGCTTCCAAGGGAAATCAGCTGGAATGCCAGCTGACTTAGTGCCCTGAATTTAAATCTTTAAATGCAGAAACAGAAACAAAAATGGGTGGTGGGGGTGGGGGGTGGGGGGAAGAGGGATCACAAGGATTTAAAAGCTGCCTCATTTCCTACCGTTGGGTTTTTCCTGCAAGCATTTAAATGCTATCCTGTTGCTAAGTAAAGAATGGTTTCATGCTTCTTAAAAAAATCTTTTATCCTTCTCTTTCTCCCCCTCGTCTTGTGCCAAAAGCTGCAGATCTGGGACACGGCAGGTCAGGAGAGATTCCGATCCATTACGCAGAGTTATTATCGCAGTGCCAATGCATTAATATTGACCTATGACATAACCTGTGAAGAATCCTTCCGATGCCTTCCCGAATGGCTGAGAGAAATAGAACAGTATGCCAGCAATAAGGTCATAACTGTGCTAGTGGGTAAGTGAGGACTGTGTTTTTAAGAGCATATTTTGCCAGAAGAGTATAATAATCAGCCATGTCCAGCTGGAGCTTCATAAGGCCATTGGAAGAGGAAAATGCTTCATTTATTTTGTCTCTGGTGCCAGGATCTCCACGTAATATGGTGGTCTGGACACTGCTTGATGCCAGTACATGCTATATACTGGCTATAGGTAGAGAACCTTACTGTAAAGCAGTGGTGGGCAACCCGCAGGCTGCATGCGGCCGTTCCCACCTGCGGCCCACGCACCCTCTTTCTGCCACCTTCTCCTCATGCCTCTTGTGCACTGGGGCGTTGGAGCCCTACACTTACCTACTCCTCCCCCTTCCTCCCAGCACTTTCAGAGCACCACGAATCCGCTGATTCGCACTCCATCCCCACTCCTCCTCCTTCCTCCCAGAGCATCAACAGCTGGGAATCAGCTGATTCATGGCCATTCACACTCTGGGAGGGAGGGGATAGGTGGAGATGGGACATGCATCAGGTGATTCATGGCACTCCAAAAGCACTGGGAGGTAACAGGAAGAGTGTCCTGTCCCTAACTATCAAGAGAAAGGAAAGGGATGGAGCATGAATCAGCTGGTTCATAGTGCTACAAAAGTGAGGAAGGGCCACTCACTGGACATGGTTATCCATTGCTGATGTAAAGACATTTACCTGGTGAAATTGGCAAGACAATGATCGTATCCAAATGATTTCTCCAATATGTAACTCCAGTGCACTAATAATACAATTCAGAATAGCAGTTGCTGCTTCTCAGAGAGTAGACCATCTCATGCCACACAAGGTTATTCAGTATGGGGAGGTGTATTTAGGTAGAAAGCCCCCAAAAACCAGGAACCATTTAACAATTGCTTCACTTTCCCTTCCCTGAGTGTTTTATGCATTTGGTTATTTAGCCCCATAGCTTTGACTATGGAGCTGCAGTTGAGAAAGTCACTGGAGCTTTACACCTCTAGCTTCTCAGTTCAAATCTAGATCAGGTTGGAGGTGGCTGAAAGTTACTACACTCTGATAGCTGTTGTGATGGCTTCAGTCCTGTTGCAGTGGCAGGTGTCTACATGACAAACAATCCCATTCCCATTGGCATTCTCAGCACAGAGGTCACTCAGGGTATGTCTACACTACCCCGCTAGTTCGAACTAGTGGGGTAATGTAGGCATACCGCACTTGCAAATGAAGCCCGGGATTTGAATTTCCCGGGCTTCATTTGCATAAGCGGGGAGCCGCCATTTTTAAAACCCCGCTGGTTCGAACCCCGTGCAGCGCGGCTACACGGAGCTCGAACTAGGTAGTTCGGACTAGGCTTCCTATTCCGAACTACCGGTACACCTCGTGGAAGGTGGAGAAAAAGATGTGCTGCTGTCTGTATCATTTCTGTCTGGGGAATAAACAGAAGGTTTCTGTCTCCAGGGCCATGAGTCCACACCTTTCACTGGTACTAAATCAGAATTTAAGATGGAATTTTAGAGAATTTCAAAATGTATAAATGAATAAAATGCCAGGGTCTTTGCTTGAAATGAAGCCAAGCCAGCCATCAGACACCAGTTTGCTGTCAGTAGAGTGCACAAAGATGTACACAGTTCTGAGGCCATTAACGTTTAGCATTGCTGCACTTTGTTTTCAGAATCCGTTAGTCAAAACATTACTTTTCAGGGACTAGGGCCAAGTGTCCGCACAGAATGATGGACACATAATTCGGAGAAAGGGTTAGTTGGCTAGTTGGTTGAATAGTTATTCAACAGCAAGATCTCTTTCTTTCTCTTTTAAATGGCTTGACTTTTAAAAAGGAGATAGTACAATTCTACAGAATAATCCGGTGCATTTAGCCTTTATTTGGATTTCAAAATAATAAAAAAGACGCTTATCTCAGACTCTAGGTGCCCTAGTGCCCACTAACAATGCAATGTCAAAATTCCTTGACACACTATAGATTAAAGGTACAGAATATTTTATAAATAATTTATAAAAGATTAATTAACCATTAATATAATTGTGCTAATAAATTGCTAGAATCTAATAGGTTGCTTTTCCTCATCTATAGCACCTTCTACTGACATGCTTATAACTTGTGTAACTTGTTAAGATGCTGACATACTCTAACACTCGCTTATTAGCCCTCTATAAATGTATCCCCATACAAAGTATGTCCACGAGCCGTTACATTTTAAAAGAGAAATTGTTGGATGGAAATGATGGCAGTGGAAAGGGATCACCAGTGAAACAGTACGTCCTTAATGCCCACTTCTTCCCAAACCAACTACTGTAAATATCAAATTCGATTCTGCCATAAGCTAAAAATGAAATCTCCATGGGGGAGATGGATGGGTAGGAGTCTTTCACCTCACCTAGTTCCATCAACTTCCCAGCAACTATTCATTCTCCATGTTCAATAACCATAAAATGAACAAAAACTATATAATTAAAAGTGGAGAACAGCACTCATTTTAAAGCTCATCATTAGATGAAAAAATATTGCATTTGCTGCCATAAGCTAAAAATGAAATCTCCATGGGGGAGATGGATGGGTAGGAGTCTTTCACCTCACCTAGTTCCATCAACTTCCCAGCAACTATTCATTCTCCATGTTCAATAACCATAAAATGAACAAAAACTATATAATTAAAAGTGGAGAACAGCACTCATTTTAAAGCTCATCATTAGATGAAAAAATATTGCATTTGGCACCCCCACATGCAATAATTGACATGTTAAGTGCTCCTTGGAGCAAAAACTAGCGATTGTTCAATAGACTTTATAAGGGAGATCCTTTAATGCCAGTTGATATTAAACAGGTGCATTAGCACTAAATGGCTAGCGTGTTCCTGGGGAAAATTGCATTAAGTGAACGAATATAAAAAGGGCTTGGTTGTCTATCGGAGAATCCTCTTTTTTGAGGAACAGGAGAGTGAGCATTTAATGTTGTAGCTTTATAAGGCCAACATTTTGTTTAAAATAAAGAACCTAACACAAGACACATGATGACAAATGCATCCTTTCTTTCTGATCAATTTCTGTCGGCTTTGTCTTGCAAGTCAAATTAATTCCTTTTCTTAAAATATTATATTGATGCAGGTAATAAGATTGATTTAGTCGAAAAAAGGGAAGTCTCCAAACAAAGAGCTGAAGAATTTTCAGAGGCCCAAAATATGTATTATCTGGAAACTTCTGCTAAAGAATCGGATAACGTGGAAAAACTCTTTCTGGACTTAGCTTGCCGGCTGATCAGGGAGGCAAGACAGAATACACTTGTGAACAATGTGGCATCCCCGATACCAGGAGAGGGGAAAAGTATTAGCTATTTGACTTGCTGCAATTTCAATTAAGAGCTGGCCCAAGATCCACCCCAATGGGCTCAGAGAGTTTTTTGCTGAGATTTCTCTCAGTGAAGGCAATTCCTGCCACTTTGACCCATCTGACTCACATCTAAGTCAGGTTCTTGATCATAAAGCATGGCAGGCTGGCCGCTCCACCTGCAGGTAAACATAGCAGAATATAATATGGTTTAATCTTTTTTGCAGTCTCTGGCGTTGGTTAGGAAAAAAGTTTGCACACAGAACTCAATAAATTCCAAAGCGTGGGCTGCTACGTTACTTTCTTTGAAGAAAAGAAGAAACCTCCCCTGATGATACTGAAGAAAGCAGGATCTTTTTTGCAGCACACATATTTGGTCCTTTTTAAAGAAGATGAACTTTAAGCCTTGGACTATATAGTATTGGCATTCTTCCAGGCTGCCGGCCAAAGGAATGCGTAGGATGTGTATATAGCGTGTGCCCCAAGCATCCTGATGCGGGACTCAGTTCTGTGTTTGAAATAGTGTTATATCTGCCATCTGCAGGCACTTTCATGAACTTGGAATTAAAAATATATATATCAACATTTCCAAACAAAACATTTGGAAAAAAAGATATGTCTCCTGGCTCAGTCACTCCTTTTGGTGCTAGCACTTCAGCTGAATATTTCATAGACCAAACCTAGTTTTATTACATTACTGTCCTCTGAATGTGTAACTTACAGTAATTAGTGAAAATATGCTAATAAGCACTGTCCATAAAATATCATTACCTCTTTTTCTCAGCCTGAACATAGTGGATAAGGACTGTGCTTCTTTGATGTCAATTGTGGGGTGAAAAGACTTTTTCCTTGAGTCAAAAAATGAATGACCAGCCCTGGCCGCCACAAAGAGGGGCTCTGTAAACAATAATTTCTTAATGTAATGAACTAGTTTTGAGAATACTTATTGATGGAATTATAAACAGATCAGATCTGACCAAAATATTGTGCTTGCATTGATCATGTGTAAGGGTTCAAAGGCAGAGCACAGTTTTAGATGGCAGTCCAGTGTGTTTGAGTAATGAAAGCTTGTAGTTACAGGTCTTGCTTGAGAAGCAAGTATACAATTTTGTATGATTTTTTTAAGCTTAAATGAAAATGGCAGCAAGTTATGAATCATTTTGTGTCTTACTCATGCAGTGATCATCTTATGAAACTGTATCTTGAAGCAATTCAAGGTACCAGTTTGTCAGTGACTCTGTATTATAGTAGCTTTTGGATACATGACCATAGATTCATTTAATTTTCTTGTTGCTTTGTACTTTTAAGTCTCAGATTCCAATGTATGTATAATTATTTGCTTAGGCAATTTCCTTCTATAAAACCTCAAATGTGGAAGCACTATGGTATTTGTTATATTACACCTCTAGTGCCATGTTCTAGTTATACATTGGACTTTGCACATTGATGCTAAAGTAAAATTGGAAAAGAGGTTGGATACATACAAGGCAAATAATTCTTAAATGTTTGGTATCAGTTTTATTGACTTTGAATGAGGCTAAAACTCTTGGTAACTTCGTGGCTGTGATACATTGTAACTTAGCATTAATCCGCTCGATATCATGTATTATTTGCTGAAGATGTTGACTGGCCTTTTGTATTAACATGAAAAAAGCTGCCAATAAGTAAATCTTGAAAATAAAAATGGCCTTTTAAAATGCTTTGTCACTTTTTTCTAAACAGGTTTTGGGCACTATCATACTGTGCCTTCGATTTTTTTTTATAGGAATTGTGTGTGGTACGTGTTGTGGATCAAGAGTGTAAGATGGCCATTTTGTAGTGCATATTTTCCTGTTGTAGCATGCATTTTTCCCCCCTTGCAGTGTAATCAACGGGAAAATTTGTTTGACTTGGTGTTTTTTCTTGTGCTAGGTATTACAATGGAGCAGAGGCTCACCGCGGGCAGGCGCTGCTCTGGCAGCAGACCCTGTCCATTGGGACCCCAGCAGGGAGCTGGGCCCCCTGCAGACAGAGGCTACTGCCGCCAAACAGCCCCGGTTCACAGTGGCCTGGGCTGGCCATGTGCAGGGGCTGCTCTGGCAGTTGCAACTGGCTGTGACCAGCCCTGGCCGCCACAAACAGGGGCTGCTGGACTTGGTGTGAGCTGGGACCAACTAGTCTCGGCTTGCGCTGGTCCGGAACACTGCGCCTCTGCACTTTAAATGTAGTAAGAGCCCAGTGGAAAATGCAGAGCCATAGTGTGGGTGGCTCCCAGAGTCAGGAGCTACCCCCGCTGAGGCTCTGCAGAGTGGCCCTTTATCGATTAATCATATAGTCTACACACGACTACACAATTACCCAGGTAACTGCAATTTAATGTCCTTACTGGAAACATGGACAGTAGGCGCTACAGGGGTGGTGCCATGGCTGGAGGCAGCACACAGCACACCATCTGGCCATGCCTCTGCATAGGAGCTAAAGGAGCAACATTTTACTGCTTCTGGGGTGCCCCTGAGGTAAGTACCGCCCGGTGTCAGCCTCCCTGCCTGTCCTCCAACTGCTACCCCAGTCCAGAGCTCCCACCCACACCCAAACTCTTACAATTGCCAGGGGGCGAGGAGGGGCATGATGGCCCAAGACTGCCCAGCAGTGGATGATGCAACTGATCCAGGGGCTGTCTAAGCTGCTCAGCTACACAGGCCACTGCAGAAATCATGAAGGTCCCAGAAAATCACAGAATCTGTGATATCCATGACAAACTCACAGCCTTACTTGTGTACAGTCCTGCCTTATAGATCCAACAGGCAAAATTGTTCTTCTTCCTGGCTACAAAATTAGGGTATGTCTAGACTGCAGTGTCTTTCATGTCTTTTAAAGCAGCCTGTTATTTCGAAATGGATTTTGTAATAACAGTCTCACTATTCTGATGTCCCCGTAACCCTTGTTCCAGCAGGGTTAAGGGATGTTTTGGAATAGCAGTTTATTTTGAAATTAGATCGAAATAAGATACACAATTTGTGTAGCTCAAATTGCGTATCTTATTCTGAGCTAAGGGGGTGCAGTGTAGACACACCCTAAGTGTTACAAAATAGGAAATGCTGTGAAAAAAATGAGTTGGTACATGACATCCTCACTCCTTTGTCTCCTTCTTTGAAGGTAAGTCGCTTGTGGTTATAGACTCCATACTTTCAGCATGTGGTCATCAAAGAATTTTGTGTTTTCTTGGCCCATCAATTGTTGAAACGATTGTACATCTTTGGCATTGTGGCTCTCTAGAGAAAGGGACATGCCATCCTTGGAGATGGGGGGAGGGAAGAGGATCTCTCTTTTCCTACTGTATGCCACCCACAGTGTAACTATCCAAAGTAGGGGCTGTTTAGAAAATAAGTTAATTTTTTCGAATATGGAGAAATACTGCCAAGGTGTAATCTAAAGATATTTTAGAGACATTAGGTCTCTCTTTAATCTCTAGAACCACTTGCTCATATTCTCCGATACCTGAGCCATGTTTATCAATGTATGGTCTGATGGTCAAACTCAGTGTTTTCTCAACTGGGACCCTCAAAACACTGGTGCTAGAAGGGCATGTAATTGGTTTCTCTTGAATCATCCAATGCTGTGCTTGTAAGTACTGCCTAAACAGTTGTGTGAGCTACACTCAAATAAGGCTGGCATTAAAACCTACAATGATCACATTACTAAAAAGAAAAAAACTAGAGAGACTCTATTAAAACAAGACAAAATTAAATGTAAAAGAAACAAACTTCACGGTGTAAAGATAAAAAAAATTATTTGGAACCCCGCTGCAAATGGCTGCTGCTCTTGAGAGAAGGGAAGCTGGTGGATATAAGAAGGCACAAACATAGTAGGATTCTTTCAGCCCTATCCAAAAAAGCATACTGCAAGTACCTAATGCCTTAGGTTGGAAGGTTCTTTAGTGAGCTATAAATGACTTCGTATGTGGCACAGGATCCCTATGGAATACTGTAAACAGTGCTTAATTCATAGAGTGCTGATGGTGCTCAAGTTGCAGAGGATGCCATTTTAAAGTGTGTACTGCTGTCTCTCTGGCAGCATGACCTCGCATGTTCAATGCAAGAAGGACACCGTAACAGAAGAGGTGCTGGGGCCAGAACCCAGCATGAAAAGAGGTGATGGGGCTGAGCTCTGGCACTCATTAAGCTCTGACTTCAGAGAAAGAAATCTGCCCCCTGAGCAGTCTGAGTGAAGGATGAGTACTGTTCACCACTGCTGAGTGGCATGCCCTGTGAAATTTAAAATGTTTCTAATAACCCCGAGAGGTTGAACAGCTATTGGTGAGCCTCAGTGTGAGGCTTCTAAATCTGAACCTTTTCTTTTCCGGTGATTATTTTTCTTCATTTACAATTTTGCTTGTCAAATATCGGAGTTGCAGACAGTGGGGTTTAACATTAGCAAAGCTGCCCTTTATAAGTGCTCAATATTTAGATCTTGATAATGTCTGTTTCAGTGTAACAGAATGTAATAATTAAGCTAATGTTGCAATAAGGTATCTTCAGCAATTTGGAGGAATAAACCCCAAATTCTTCTACCCATAATCCATTCTGGCCCTAACCTCTTTCAAAGTCTGGCTGGAGTGAAAGGTGTATGTGTGTCTGTTAGAAGCTGAAGATAAACAAAGTTGCTTTGTTGAACATGTATACAAAGTGATAAACCAAGGTGGCGGTTTGCTAACAAAGTGCTAGATGAGTGTCTGATAATGTAGAGTTCAGTAAACGGTATTTTATTGTAATAGCTTTTTGAAGATGTATTCCCTTCATACATATTCATTTGCATATATCCAGGCATTTATAATCCAGTCAAATCCTCTGGTTTCTCAGGGTGAATCTACACAGCATCCTTTCCTCAAAATAAAGTGCTATTCTGACAAGTCCCTTAATCCTTGTGGAATGAGGGCTACAGGGATGCTGGAATAGCGTGCCTGTTATTTCGAAATATATTTCAAAATAATGGGCGCATTTAAAAATGTGGAATTGCTATTTTGGGATACTTCCGGGACCCTGAAATAGTCCCGCTATCTAGATGTAGCTGGAGTGTGTGTGTTCAATTCCACGTTCTGGTCCCTTCTGGAATGCTCAGCTTGGAGCATAGCAGCTGCATCAGCACCACTAACAACAGCCTGGATGTTGTGCCAGGTTTGTCAGTGGGATGGGAAAATAAGGGTAGAAAAATTACAGTCACAGGCCTAACTATTCTCTTGAATTCTAAAGCAAGGAGTTGCAATAAAGAGTGTCCAAAGTGATCCATGAACAAAGTTGCTGCATTTGTAGCAAATTTTGCGCACAGAGTGGCTAAGGCATTTGACTAGAAATCTGATGATCTACAATTATTATTAATCATATTTATTATGGTAGTGCCTCAGGTTCAATCAAGAATGGATCCCTATTGTACAAACACAGCAATAGATGGTCCCTGTTCCTAAGAATGTACAATTGAAATAGAGAAGATAGAGAGGGTGTGGGAAAGGATGTAACACACAATCTGATGGCAGCAAATTATTTTTTTGTTTTGGTGGGTTTGTTTAAGGGAGAAGCTAAATAGGAAAGGAGTGATGATGAGGACAGGGTATTTCTGCCACTGAGTTACTTGAGTGTCCTTGGGCAGCTCAATTTCTCTGTGCCTCAGATCCCCATCCATTAAATCAGGATGGTGCTTTTTTCTCCAGCCCTTTTGTGTTGTCTGTTTAGACTGCAAACTCTTTGGGGGCAAGCACAGTCTCGTTAGTATAGCTCCTACCACAACAGGGCTCTTGTTTCTGTGGGTTGCCTCTAAGCCAGTGATTCTCAAACTGCAGTCTGCAGACCACTAGTGATCTGTGGCCGCCTTTCCAGTGGTCTGTGGCTCGAGCTCAGCCCTCTCTCCCCTCACTGCAGGGAGCCCCTGCTGCGTCAGCCTTGCCCCATCCCCTACAGGGTTGGAGTGCGAGTGCCAGCTTCCCGCTGGGGGTGGGGAAGAAAGCCCTGAGCCTCCCCACCGGATCTGGCTTGCGGGGAAGAAGTGGAACCAGAAGTGGCTCTGCACACTGCCACTTCTCTTCCCCCTCTCCCAGCTGAGGGAACAGCTGTGTATGGAGGCACTGCCTGGAGGCTTTTCCCCGCTGCTCCCATTGGCCACAATGCGGCTGGGGAGCAGCGAGCAGCCGCGCCTGGGACATGGTGCCTAAGAGTAGTGTAAGGCATGAAAGCAAGTAAGTAACCCCCAAACCCGCTTGTGCCCAGACCCCACACCCCCACCCTGCTCCTGCATCACCCCTTGCCAAGACCTCACACTCCCAGCCAGCTCCTGCACCTTGGCCAGACACCTACTCCCACCCTGCTCCTGCACCCTCCCTCCCGGCCACACCCTGTACCTTTTCTTGCTCTTGCCTCCTCCCCTCTGGACAAACACCCTGTTCCCAGCCTGCTCCTGAACCCTGCCTTCCATCCACCCTCACACTCTCACTGCCTCCTGCACACCACCTCCCGCCCAGATCCTGCAACCCTCATCCTTCTCCCACATGCTGGCAGCCCTCTCCCACACACGGGCCCCCTCATTTTTATCCTCACCCCAGAGCCTAGAGGAGTCCACAAAGTCCACTAATACCAGATCCCCAAAGAGTACATCTGTTCGCTGAAAAACCTTGGCTGCAAGGAATCTCAACTGTCAGGCCCATCCCCACACCCACATCTATCATCCGGTT